CACCCAGCTCTGTCAAAGGTTGGTTGCGGAAAGTTTTTAAATTTACACAGTGCTCACCAAGAAGAGGCGAAAGAGAGCAACACGACGACACGGCGAAACATCGCCCAGAGTACGAAACGAAAATGGTTGTTTCATTTAATTATAAAGTAAAACTTTTTCATATCTTTCCCGTCTTTGCTTGGCCAAAGTTATACAAGAAGATGGACTTTTTTTTCTGTGGAAACAACAAAACTGAAAGGGAAAGTGACTGTGAACTCTATGGCAGTGATGTGCAAGCATACTCGAACGTGATAGGTACCAATGATCAAGTTTGAAGTGTTAATAGTAAATAGTTGCTAAGAGCCGTTATGAATTTTTATGTGGCGAAATATGATAATTTTCTGAAAACGTAAGCACCAGTGAAGTCTATGCCCCTTAAATTTAAAATCCGTTTCATCACTCGTTCCGTCCCATATCCCATATCCATTGAGTTTCCAGTTTCTTCTACCAAAGTTCATAATTTCTTATAGGGTCGCTTCCGAGAAGAAATCCTCTCCCAAGAATGTAATAAATCAGGATTTCCTGCTGGAAACAAATGACATCCGGTTGAAATTCCGCCCGTCTTAGCGGAAGAATGACTTGTATAGTTGAACAAAAAAAAACTCTGAGATGATGGTAGGGCTGCACGAATGCATAAAAAATATCAGAAGTGAGCAGCCTGTGGAACGCTGCGACGCAGCACGGATTTGGTTCCATGCACTTATGCATTATTTTTTGGCTTTTGTCTACAGAATAAGGCATGATCGTATAGCATTGCAGTGTGCAGTGTTTGAAGAGCGACAAAAATAGCATGGCATGGTTGCACGCTGGTAACTACGGAAATAACGCCATCAAACAGATGATTGTAACGAGCTTTTTTTTTTTGCTCCCACTGCAACGGTACTTTGCACTCGACTGTGATTAGTTTTCGCTGCTTTTGTGCAGCGAAAGCTTCACATAGTAGGAATGGATACAGTGCGGTGGGGAAGGAAACCATGGTTTATCCACCTATGATGAGATCAGACCCTTCTGACGTACACACTTAGAAATAACTAATTTTGACACGTGACGGAATCCAACTTTGACATAAAAGATGAGACGTAAACAAACATGTCATGTAATATTGAGTGCTCCGAGACTGAAAAATTCGTTGCTCGACGAAAAGTACGTTGAGCTATGTTTCGAGTCTGTTATGACTCAAATTTATGTCGAAATTGACGCTCGTATATGTCACTCTCAGAGCACCCAATTTAACATGAACTTTTTTAAGTGTGTACATATTACAATTCTTACAAACATAATCCAGCCCAGTGAGGCAAATTAAATTTAAGTTATCATTGGCGCAGCTAATGGAGATACCACGGGGACCAGGTCCCCTTCAGATTTATCTAGCCTTCCTCCACGAATATAGGATGTTTTTTTAACACCGGTTGTTTGTAAAGCAGGTTCGAGGGTACTTTTTCAAGAGCAATTAATAAAATTGAACAACAAACAACCATTTTTCTGAATGTCCTGAATGTTGAAATATTTTTTAGTGATCTAGAATATTAAAATCTATTTCAAAAAACTATATTATGTCAATATTTAATCGATAGCATAATAAAATGTGTTCAGGCTCTACAAATTGGCAAAGAGCTCAGGGATTTTTTTTTATAACTTCAGGGAACTTCGTAAAGCGTCAAGGACTTCTAAAACTATCAGGGAACTAAAGCGTACAAATTCAGGAAACTCAGTAGAAATTCAGGGAATTTCATAGAACTTCAAAAAATTTCGTAGAAATTAAGGAAGCTTTGTACAAAATCAGAAAGCTACTTAGAAGTGGGAGCTTTATTAAAGTTTGGAGTTCTTCGTAGAGGTTAAGGGAACATTATTTAATTTCTGGTAACTTCGTTATTGTTCGGGACCTCCACACCATTTCAGGCCAATATTTTGTATACCTAATATTACAAGGAATTACGAACAAGTTCAAGAAACTCCGGGTGTGGAACTTCGTGAAAATTCAAAGAGTAACATATAAGTGCAGCAAACTTTGAAGCTGTAGCATTTGGAAGAAGATCTATAAATAGTTTAGAAGTTTAGAAGATCTATAAATAGTTTAGAACCCTGCCCTTTGGTTCAGTGAGGGTTAGGGCGCGTTCTGCCAGGTTGGTCGGGGCAGATTTCATGTGTCAGTAAGTGATGACAGTGGTCATTGGTGTGTGTAATTCACTGCATATTTCACCACATATTGTTCCAAAGAGCCTGAATAAAATGTGGCGCTTGCGAAAATCACTTGAAGATACAATATGACAGAAAATTGATATCATTTGTATAAAACACACGTTTGACCACGTTTTGCGTCCATTACCATAATGGAAGGGCTCTGCCCCCCGTTGGCTATACTGCCATACAATTAAACCACTGAAAGCTGATCCTTTTCTGATGGAGGAGGCTTATTGGACAGCAGAAGATAAAGTATTTATTGTGTTGTACCTTTTGATTATAGTTTTAAGATCTATTGTATAGTGAACAAGAATCCTCGGCTCTGTAAAGTTAATTCGAATGAGCCTTATCAAATAAATCAATAAACGAAAAACTACAAGGAACAGCCCTATGGGGTTGTACGCAATGGTGACGTAGGACTACGTTTTCTTATATAATAAATGTTATTTGTTAACTGCAGCAGGAGCTTGTGTTTTGTGTAGGAATAGGAATTTGAATGGAGTTCTCTGTTTATACTCTTAAGTATGACGCGCTTGGCATAGATGGCCCACAGCGACTCACGAAGAGCTACTGATTCCGATCAATAGCGTTGCGGCTTCTTCCTCCTTCTATGGATGCAGCTCGCTGCTTGCAGGCAGCCTTTCGTTGTGTACTGGAGAACAATGTTTAACGCCACGCGCCGAAAGCACTGCTGCTGCTGCTGCTGATGTTGACGATCGGACACTACCACACACGGTATTTGGAACTGAATCCGATCAGCAGTTGAGGGCAGTCTTGATAGCTAGCTGCTTGCTGGGAGCCTTTCTTTGTGTACCGGAGAACACCACCACTCACCACGCGGTGATTGAATAAACACCGTTTGGTGAGACCGGATGCAATTCAACTTTGAAATTTGCGTTAGGGATAATTTTGAGTATTATTGCAACAGTTGCACATTCGTGCAATTTTCAATAGTGACATTTTGAAAAAAAAAAAAAGATAATGCGTAGGAATATTTATGATCGATTGGTGAAAAAATTATTGAAATTGGTCAAGGGGCAGCTGAGTTATTAACGTTCAAAATCTTTCATAATTTTGTTACATGTTCCATTTTCGGTTTTCCCAAAGTGTACCTCCATATAGCAATCACAAGCATAGTCCAACTTAAAAAAGCAAATTTTTCCAATTTTTTTTTTTATAACTAGTTCGTTTATTTGGAAGGCTTAATCACGTTAGCTTTACGGAGCCGATAGTTCATTGTTCTTTGTTTGTAACAAAATTCACTTAATTCTATATCTAGTAGGAGTTGGGCCGAATACTCGTGGCTTACTCGAGGTTAGAGATGTACATTGTCAAAGGATAGGATCAGGGAAGGAGCTTGGGGGTAAGGTTTCGTTGTCTCATCAGAGCGTTGTTGCCAGTATGAAAGGTAGTGCGGTTCTAGTTTCATCTTGAGTTCGACCGGCTATAGTGGCCAGTGGGCGACGATGAGACTCATCGAGACGGGGGGACAAGACAAACAAAAACTAGTAAAGAGAGACAAAAGACAAAGGAATTAAAATCTTATACTTATCTTATGTTGTATTGAAATACTCTAATCGGTGTGAAATCTAAATGTACCCTCATTTTACATCCATTCTGAACCTACATCCCGCATCACAGCCATTGGCCATCTCATATCAAATACTGTCAGAGCTGCAGCGTCAATGGAGAGAGGAGCAGCGATCTAAACGCCAGCTAGTGCCGAGAGAATGAGAAGTGCATGAACACAGCCACCCCCTGACGTAGTCTCTTTACCGTGGCCCCGGGGGTATCCAGGTAGAGGAGAGAGCAAGGGATGGGTTTTAGTGGAACTGCGCAAGACAACTAGTGGATAGAAAACCGTACCAACTTCGCTACAGGCCAGGGTGGTCCTCATAAGTACCAATCTCACTCCGCCCCACAGTGTAGCCTAGGCAATGTTGTCCTTCCGACAATAGCAATTCGAGGGGGAACGACGCGAGCACTGGTGCGTTAACAAGTTTCGTCAACCCGCAGGAGAGCCAACCGGCACATTGGGATCGACGCCAGTAATATTCTGCGAGTGGGCTAATAGTGTGACTGCCCCCGTCCCGGTAAAACCTTGGCAGGCCTCAGAATACGTTCAAAACTCGTCACAAATTGGTGGCTGGTGATCTCGCATGATCGCTGATCTGGCTCTGAACACGGCCCCCATTAAGGACCGTGTCAATCCTAGCATGGATTTGTAGGCGCCAGTGGTGTAGTGGTAAGCGTGATTACCTCTCCCCCCAGCAGGCCTGGGTTCAATTCCAGTCAGCGCCGCCGGGATGTTCTGAGGCATAACATCTCTGATCACGCCTGAGTTGATGGGTCGGTAGGTGGTAGGATCCAGGTGTGGGAGCTCCCTTCCTGGCGTCGGTAGCATTGGTGCTCAGCACGGAGAAAAAAAACCCTAGCATGGTCTCCCTGATTGCATTGCGATCACGATAGGCGACTACATACAACGAGTGGAGAAAGCGGCCCGGAAGGGGGACCAAACAGAATGGAGAAAAAGAAAGAAGGACGATGGTAAGACGCCAGACAGTGAAAACGGAGGAGCGAACGTGTTCGCAAGGGGTGGGTTATTGTAGAGATCACCAGTGTTGAACCTGGTGACCACAGCGAGTTCAAACAGCAGCGGTAAGTCCCAAGGTGAGCAGCAAGGACACCAAGGAGAGCTAGGTCTTGTACTAAGCCAGATGTTCACACCGAAATCACGCAGTAGCACACTCCAAGAAGGACTGCATCTTGGGAAGACCAAAATGAAGGAGGTCAGGAGGAGGATCAATGAACTCCATGACTTCGTCAAGGATAAGAGCATCGTCCACAAGGCAATAAAGGAAATGGTGATGGGCATCAAATCCGCCATGATTGCTGCCGAACTTGAACAGGTTGCGCTGAGGACAATTGCCGTAAGGGCACTGATTGAAGCCAAGGAAAAATCAGCAGCTGAATCACAGGAGACGCCGAAGCGATCCCGAAATCCACGCTCGTTGAAGAGGAAAAAGGAAACGCCAGGAGAGGAAGAGGAGTTGAAAAAACTCAAGAACGACAAAGAAGACAGCAAGGAGGAACGATGGCGTACCGTCGAGGAGCCCAAGGAGAAGTGGAAAAAACGGAAGGAAAAAGAAGTGAAGAAGAAAGAAGAACAGAATAAGGAGCAACCCAGGCCTCGTCGGGAGCGAAGCACAGACGATGCTCTGATCGTCCAAGCAAAGGACAAAACGACGTACGCAGCACTCCTTCGGAAGGTTCGAGAGGATCCGGAATTGAAGGAACTAGGAGAGAGCGTCTTGAAAACCCGGTGCACCCAGAAAGGCGAGATGCTATTTGAGCTGAAGAAGGATCCTTCGTTCAAGAGCACAGCCTTCAAGAAGCTCGTCGAAATGTCTCTTGGTGAAGGGGCGAGTGTAAGAGCTCTATCCCAGTAGACAGTGGTACTACCCGTTGGATTACGATTTAAAATTGGATCACTACTTGACTAGCCTATTGGTCCCAAGAAAACGATTAACGTAGCCCATTCTAGTTGAAATTCTAGTACTACACTATCTTTATTTTGATTCGCTATGAAAGTTTGACAGACAAAATGAGGGGAGCGTGGATTTTCCTATGTTTCGAGGGGTGCATCGATTAGCTTGGGACCGAAGAGCGTACCAGAGCTGAGCCAAAAAGTTGAGCACGTTTTTTCGCGACCTTCTGGTCTTAGAGTTACCTCTATGGTGGTACGGCGGCATGCAAACGGCGGTGATACGGCTTTCGACAGTTGCAGCGAACAAGCTGTTGGAGACGGACAAGGTCAAGGTTGGGTGGTCAGTGTGCTCGCTGAAAGCCACTGCTCGGGTTACCAAGCAACTGGAGCGATGCTTCAAGTACATGGGTTTCGGTCACCATGCAAGGAACTGCAAAATGGTAAGTTGACAACCTGGAAGGAACGGAATACCTAGCCCTGGTCCTCACAAGTTCCTACTTCACGCCTCCCCGAGTCATATGATATCAAAAGACTACCAGCTAAACATGGACACAGCTGGGTGGCGTAGCCTAGGCAATGTTGCCAGTCCGGCAATAGCAAAGTGAAGAGGTGCAACGCGAAAACTGGCGCGGTAACCATAGTACGGTGATAGAGGAAATCATACCCGAGCGTCTGTTCACCATGGAGGTGCGGCTCAAAACGGCGTCTGTTCTCCATGTTAGGAGCGGCTGATCACCGTCCTAGTGCCAGACCTACGCGACGAAATAAGGACTACGATTGGAAACTCGGAACATGGAACCGCAAATCGCTCGGCTTCCCGGGCTGCGATAGGTTAATCTATGAGGCGACTGGCGGATCCTTCGCAGACTACGAGGCTGGTGAACTGTGGCCATGGATCGAGTAGAGTGGAGATGACTTCTTCGGACAGCAGAGGACAACAAGGCCTTAGTCTTATTGGTAAGTAAGGTAAGGCAAGCGAGGAACTGCAATGGCCCTGACAGATCTGATCTGTGCAAGGAATGCAGAGAGAAAAATCACATTGCAAGAGGTTACACGAAGCAACCGAGGTACATGCTCTGCAAAAAAGAGTACGGAAACGACCATACGATGGGAGGCTTCAAATGCCTAGCATACAAAAAGGCGATGGCAGGCCAACAGTAATGGAGGTAACCCAAATAAACATCAATAATTGCGACACTGCACAGCAACTGTTGTGTCAGTCAACAACACAACAAAGTGCGACGTTGCAATCATCGCGGAACCGTATCGAGTCCCTCCCGATAACGGATACAGCTGGGATGGTTGCTCTACAAACTATGGGCAGATACACCATTCAAGAAGTGGTTGCGAGCTCATTCGAAGGTTTTGTGGTCGTCAAAATTAACAGAATCTTCATAGGCAGTTGTTACGCACCCCCGAGATGGAAGATGGAGCAGTCCCATGAGATGCTGGATGAACTTACCAAAGAGCTGATCGGACGAAGACCGGTAGTCATCGGAGAAGACTCGGTGGAGTGGGGTAGCAGATGTTCCAATGCAAGAGGACACAGTCTGCTGGAAGCTCTGGCAAAGCTTGAAGTTATGCTGTCGAACGAAGGCACCAGCAGCACTTTTCGCAGAGATGGTCAGGAATCCATTATCGACGTCACTTTCTGCAGTCTGTCGCTGGTGACAAACATGAATTGGAGAGTGTGCGAAGAGTATAGCCATAGTGACCATCAGGTATGGAAAATCATTTGCATTCATTTCGTACATTCATTGGCATTCATTTGCCTCTAACTTTTTTCATCAACAGAATTCCGTAAAATTATGCATGAAGCTTTTGTAGGCTGTATAATTAACTACAACTTTTGTAGCTCAAATCTGTATCTCTTATGCATGATGAACTAGAGTGGGCAGAACATGTTATTGTTTTTCGGTGAATGTAATTTACATTCACTCAAAAACAATGGTGGGTTCAGTTTGCTCTAGTTCATCATGCATAAAAGATACAGATTTGAATTGTTGTCATAAGTTTCATACATTGCTTTACGGAGTTCTATTGATGGAAAAAGCCAGAGACAAATGAATGTAAATGAATGCACGAAATGAATGTAAATGATTTTCCATGCCTGGTGACCACCAGGCGATCCGAAATGGCATTGGTCTACGGAATACCGTGGCAGTACGGCGTATGAGAGCTTGCGACTGGAAATGGAAAACGAAAGCTTTTGACAAGGATCTTTTCGTTGAAACACTCCGTGTGGATAGGGGCCCCACGGATCTGAACGCGGACAAGCTGATATAAACGTTATTGAGAACATGTGACACGACCATGCTGAGCCAACTGGAGCCAAATAACAGACGGCGTCCAGCTTACTGGTGGAACGAGGTACTTCGCACCCTCGGTGCTAGTTGTTTCAGAGCCACGTATTCAGAGAGCAAGAGCAGAGGCAGGTAGAGAGGAACGAAGAGGAGTGTTCGGGAGAGAGATAAAGCAGAGAAAGTCAAACTGTTTTAAGGAGCTGTGGCGAGACGCTGATGCCAACCCCTGGGGCGACGCATACCGAGTCGTGATGACCAAGATCAGAGGTCCAACGATGCCCGGTGAAATGTGCGCCGAGAAGCTGAAAGTCATCGTGAAAGGACTTTTCCGAAGCACGATCCAACGACCTGGCCACCTACTACACCGTACGGAGAGGGAGAGGAAGATAACACCGAAATCACCAACGAGGAACTCCTAGTTGTGGCGAAAGGATTGAAGGTGAAGAAAGCTTCCGGTCCGGATGGAATCCCCAACGTAGCGTTGAAAGCGGCGATCCAGGCGTCCCCGGACATGTTTGGTATGGTGCTTCAGAAATGCTTGAACGAGGGTCACTTCCCTGACAGGTGCAAAATACAGAAACTAGCGTTGCTGCCGAAACCAGGAAAACCGCCGGGGGATCCAGCATCGTACAGGTCTATATGTCTGCTGGATACACTCGGAAAACCAAAAGGAGAGGATCATCCTAAACAGGCTGACGAAATGCACGGAGAGTGAGCACGAATTGTCGGAGAGGCAGTTCAGATTCCGTAAAAGGGAGATCAACGTTGGACGCAATTCGGACAGTGGTCGAGAGAGCCGAAAAGGCGTCCAAAAAAAGCGGAGAGGAGATCGATATTGCGCCGTGATAACGATCGACGTCAAGAATGCGTTCCACAGCGCTAGAATGAGAGTCACTGACTACCTGTACAAGATCCTAAGGAGTTATTTCCAAAACCGAGTTCTGGTATACGAGACAAACTTGGGACATAGATCGATTAGGATCACAGCGGAAGTTCCACAAGGTTCCATCCTTGGTCCAACGCTTTGGAACGGGATGTACAACGGCGTGCTAACGCTAAAGCAGCCCAACGGAGTTGAGATCGTTGGCTTTGCGGACGACGTCGTCTTGACCGTAACAGGCGAGACGCTGGAAGAGGTGCTATTGGTCAGTAACTGTAAGGCGGTGCAGCAGGCTGAAATCACCGTCGGCGAGCACGCCATAGCCTCGAAGCGTGTGTTGAAATACCTGGTAGTGATGATCAATGACCGGCTAAACTTCAACAGTCACGTCGAATATACCTGTGAGAAGTCTTCGAAGGCCATCGGCGCGATAGATAGAATCATGCCGAACAACTCTGTTCCCAGCAGTAGCAAGAGGCGTCTGCTGGTCAGTGTGCTGGAAACGAAGCAGAACAAAAGGAAACTGAGCAGTACGTTCCGGTTCATGGCCATGCGAGTCGTGAGAGAGCACAGAACCATCTCGCCGGAAGCAGTATGTGTTATCGCCGGAATGATCCTTATCGGCATCACCTTGGCGGGGGACAGCGAAGAGAATCCGGAAGAGTACGGAATGTGGAGAAAGCGGAGTCGTTGGCTATAATTGGATGCCCGTATCGAGTGATTTCTCAGTAACACGATTGCGTGTTCCTTCGGTTGGGTAGCTGGGTTATCACACCTTGCAGCCTCTATTCACTACCCAAGTCTGTGGTGAACATTAAACAAATTGAATCTTTTTCGTACTATTGGTATAAATCTGACTATGAAACGTCTTGCCATTAGAAATAATACTGGCCTGCAGCAGCACAAATACGATTCCGAATATTTGGTAAACTTTTTTTAAGTGGGCATTCCCTTTCTGCCAGTTAATTGATGAGAAAGGCTGTAGGAAGCTGAGGCCCAAATCTACCATCTGGCACGTTCCGCCTAAGCCAACGTTCTGATACCATTTATAAAATAGCAATGCATTCTCAAAGGGCGAATTTGCTCAGTAAAGAGTTAGCCTCACACTCCTCTGCTTTTTTTACTTAGCTTAAATGGACACGACTTAACCGAGAGTCTAACGTATCATCTCAACATGGTGTGTTTACATTATAAGCATCTACATTAAGCTTATTACTATCGGCCATAAGGGCTTCAACAGAAAATTGAATTTTGAAATCATTGTAATAATGGTTTAACGGATGCTCCAAAGATTTTTTTCTATCTGTAATCATAAAGTCATTCTTGAACCACCGTTGATTGCATTTCCTGGAGAGCACTTTATTTTTCGGTTGAACACTTATGTTATAACACCTTCATATTGCAATCTTCTCAATTCAGTGATACGGCAACGGACCTTATATTGGATCTTGATTTCAATATTATTCGATGCGTCTCATTTGACGATTTTTGAAGGATATATTTAATTTTTGTCAAACGTTTCATTCTCGAAAAAAAAATCATCCAGTGAAACCCAACATAAGCTAAGTCACCCTACAATCAAACAACGCCTCCCTGCACACGAAGTTGAAGAGGAATGTGCATATCGTTCCGTTCAATTCCTGACACTCTTTGCACGAACTATGCCGGGAATGTGATGCATTCAAAACGGCAACCGATTGTTACCTTACTATACTAGGAAAGATGTAGCACCAAGTCAGCTCGAGACTTGCTCGGAATCAAGCAATGGAAAACTTTGAC